GGCCGGCAAAGTGGACAATCACGAATTTCTCTTGTGCCCCCACTTTCGGGATTCTGTAGTACTCGTTGTTCTCGTGCAGCTGATGTGACTTGGTGATGAAGCTGGCGTCGTTGCTCTGATTATGGGAGGGAGGAGTTGGAGGACGGAAGAGGGAGGGGAGAAATCGTGTGATTAGGAGAAAAGGAACGGTAAAGAGGGTGAAATAATTGCGACTGTGGCATCGCTTCGACTTGACTGGCTCGTCAGACGACCAGAGAAAGCGGATTCTGGCAGATCTGTACCAAGCGAAGCAGTCTGCGGGATTCGTGCCCATTCAAGTGATGCAGTGGCTTTAGAAGAGAAGACAGGATGCTTCAGAGAAGGAGGAGAAGAGGAGAAGAATCGAAAAAGAAGAAGAAGAAGAAGAAAGAGAACAAGTAAGACGTGATGATGAAAGGGAGAAAGAGGAAGAGATCTGCAACCACGAAGCTCTCTACTCAAATTACCCAATCACCTTTCTGGAGCGACTCGAGCTAGTTTCTGTTGTTGCACCAGAATAGAGGCGAATGGAGTGGATTAGAGATAGAGAGGCCGATAATGCCGATCTACTAATGACGAGGCGATTTACGCCGACGGCACGGGGTTGGTACTTCGGCCAGACAGAAGGAATAAAGAGTCTGTCGAGTGGGCCCACCTACCTTCGGCAAATGGGAGGCATCGTTGAGCAGATGGAAGATGCCGTCCGGCCTACCAGCTATCAGCTCCACGATCATCGTGTTGTCCGGATACTCAATGTAGTGCCAGCTGACGTTCTCCTCCACGTAGTCCCTCTGCTCCAACTCGAAGATGCACCGATTGAAGAAGAGCTGTAGGTTTTCGTTGGCAAAATTGATGCACAACTGCTCCAATGAGTTGGTGGGAAAGCTCTGAAGAAGATGGCAAGGAAACAAAGTCAATTTAACGCTGAATTACGGCACAATTTCATAAAAATAAAAGCCTCTTTTTTGACTTTTAGCCCCCTCAAAACTCGAAGTTTGCGCAATTTATCGATGCCTTGTTTACTTTCTGCTTCAAGTCTCCGATACCGAGATGGAGAAGACTTGACTAGCGAACTCGGCTGTACAGATCGCTCACGGTT